ATAAGTGAAGATTTTTACTTACACAGTGGGTTAAGGGGAGGGTTTTGTGTGTTACTGGGTAATACAACACATGGGGTAAGGTCTACCCTGAGAGCAGGAATTGCTTCACTACCCTCAGTGGGGTTTCTGATGGGCAATAGAGGTGGCAGATCCATGCGGTGGTGCCTGAGGAAGCTGAGCAGGAGCACATCCCCTGCTGAGGGTCATGTTAGGTCTCTGGTCCATTGAGCTAGCTCTAGCAACCATAAGGCAAAGGAGCCCACACTGACCTGAGAGGACATCCTGGGGCACACAGTGGGTGTTTGGCTGCTGTTTTTAACCAGTTGGGTCCTGAGTTCCTGGACTGTACCGGGTCTGTGGGAATGGCCTGGCTGGCAAATGTCTACTTTTGGGGATCTACTTTATCGTAGATGTAATGCCCTCTCCCCTAAACCAGCTGCATGGTTCAACTCATTCTCAATCTTTCCTTGCTGCTTTTGCCTCCTTTGCTTCGCTCAGGGCTTGCTTCTTCCTTCCAGTAGGCTGCCCGCTCCTTCAGCAAAATGAAGTTCTTTCCCCACGACTCCTTCTTGGTTTGCTTTTGTTTTGGCACTCAGGAGACGACAGATTTATAGACCTTCCTGAGTCGTAAGTTCAATTTTCTTTCATTATTTACCTTTCACTGCAGCCCATTCGGAGCGAGATTTCATTCTGCCTCTGAGCGGGGCTGCCCTGCCAAGAGGAGCTTACCCATAAATCATTCCTTCCTCTTTCTTCCTTTCCAAAACAGCATTAGCTGAATTTGCCTAGGAGGAAAATGGTTCTGCCATTGCCGGCAGTCAAACAGTGCAATTAATTAGTGCTTTCCCTTTTCTCTTCCCTCCAGTCTGTCGTCTGATGGGCTTGAAAGTCAGCCAGGGAGGAGGGGAAAGGGGAAAAAGGAAGGGGAAAGATGTGTTTTAAGTATTCCTTTTTAATTAAAAGGTGATCAGGTGTTGTGGTGGTATCGACTGTGTCATGTCTGGTGCTCAGAAGCACCTTAGGAGAAACATCCCAGCATAGAATGGTTTGAGTTGGAAGGGACCTTAAAGCTCACTCATTTCCAACCCCCTGCCATGGGCAGGGACACCTTCCATTGGAGCAGCTTGCTCCAAGCCCCTGTGTCCAACCTGGCCTTGAGCACTGCCAGGGATGGGGCAGCCACAGCTCTGGGCACCCTCACAGGGAAGAGCTTCTGCCTAAGAGCGCATCTCAGTCTAACATTTGACTGTGCTGCCTCTTGATTGTTTTAGGTGGAAACAGTAAAGCGCTTGGTGCATGTTGCTGCTTTAATTCCTCATTTTCTGTCTTACAGGGGCTTCGTTTTGGTTTCCAAGTGCAAAAGAGCAGTGGGTCAGAATTGGGATAGGTGCTGAGGAACAATGCAGGAAAAGGCTGGGTGCAGCTGAAGCTGTTCTGAAAGGCAGGGAAAGGAAGAGCGCTCCGTTTCCATTCCTTCCCGTTTTGGGAGACAGAGCATGTCACAACAGTGCTGAGCAGACAAGAGCTGCTTGCCAGCATTTAATTTGTTGAAGATTAAGAAATTATTCCATTCTTACAATGCTGTTTGAATTCTGGGGGATGTGGAACTTAGATCTAGACTCAGATTTCATAGTGTTTGGAAGCAAAGGCTTTATCAGTGTAAGAACTGTATGGATGCTTTAAGGGGAGTCGTGTTAGTAGTGTACCTAGCTCAACTTCAGCTGCCTTTGAACTTTGGGATAACTATATCCAGAAGAGGACATTGAATTTAGGCTTGTTTATTTGTGATCTAGAAGCTAGCTAAGGCACTGTGGAAGCTATTTCTGGTTTCCTCTACCTGCAAGGACAGTTCACTGCTGAAACATTGCCTCTTTTCTGGCCAGCAACAACCTCAACCCTTTCCTCTTTCTCTAAAAGCTGTCCTTATCCTATGCCCTACCCATCCTGTGTCCTCATCAGGCTGAGGGCAGAAAGCTGAGAAGTCTTGTACACGGCTGGGCTGAACATCAGCAGATGCCTTCATTATTTACAGTGGTTTCTAAAAGCACCGTTGCAACTGTTAGGGTCAGACCATAAGCAAAGGCTTCTCTTTCAAGCACAGATGATAAACAAATCCAAGACACTTGGTGTCAGCAGCCTCGCCAATCTGTTCACCACCTGGAGCTTGAGGCAACCCAGCAGTTGCAAACCACTAGGAGTAGGACAGCCGTAAGGAAATCAGTGTCCTGACGTGGGCACCAAAAATAAGCCCGTGCTGAGCTTTTCTGAGCGCTTGGCCAGCTCACAGCTGCTGGCTGCTGAATGTTTGGGAAATGTATCCCCCCATTCAGGTGCTCAGCACTTGGAAGCGTGGACCTGACCAACTCCAATGTCATCTGCTTCTCTAACACCCAGCCAGTTCTGCTCTGCCGGACCAGCCATGTTCTCGCTGTCCATCGTGGAAAGAGGGAAGCAGTTCTTTTATTCCCCATCCTACCTGATTGTTAGGAAAATAGCCTGAAGACACTTCCCTCTGTTTGATCGAGGCAGATCTTAACCTCTGGGACCATTAGAGCAAGCCTCCCCCTACTCCAGGCAGTCCCACATGCTGCTTCCATGCCATATAGGAAAGCAAATATCCCTGATGTTTGAGCAACCTGGTCCAGTGGAAGTGTCCCTGCCTGTGGCAGGAGGTTGGAACTGGATGTGCTTTAAGGTCCCTTTCAATCCAAACCATTCTATGGTTATATGATTCTGATTGCTCTTATATCAAATACCTTTTGCTGACCTCCCTTGAAGAGAGTTCCTTGTAAGAATGCCTTTGGCCAGAGGTTCCAGTCAGTTGGAGCGTTGCAGGGGTTTCTGAGCTCTGCTGATTTATTACTCCTTAGTAATCTTGTGGTTTATGGAGCGCTGTACAGGGGTACAAGGGTATCAACTAACCAGTGATCTGGTGCCAGAAGGCACCCGTAGACAAGGACAGATTTCAGGCTGTGAGATAAGGCTCAGAGAATGAACGTACAGAGGAGCAGGAGCTCTGTGATGGGGTGGTTTGAATGAGGATCTCCTAACAGGAGGATAAGGGGATACAGTAAGACTGGATCTTCTCCTTTAAGGTGTGTAGAGCTTGGGAATCAGTTTTCAGTCTCCTTATTCAGAGCAGGTTGGAACTGGGGTCTCTTCTCATTTAGCCTCTGTGAACAAGACAGAAGAGCCAAGTCCCATTGACGAACCTCATCGCTCCCCTAGGAGCATCTCTTATGGTAAAGGTGCCTTCAGGTTCTTGCAGGCTGTGGAAGCAGGATCCGTTTTAGCTTTTGTGTAGCTGGGTACATAAATATCAGTAAGGGCAGCATTAAGGCAAAAGACAGGGCACTCTATCCCAATTCATGATCTTGGAGCAGCTACCGAGGTTTTAAAGCAAGGCAGAATTCCTGCCAGGTTCCTTGGTGATGCTGTAGGACAGCTGCAAAAGAGCTGCAGAAGGAAAAGGTCGATTTTGCACAAGCTGAAGGTTGCCTGGAAATTCTGATCTCATCTCTCAAGAACTTCTTTGGTGCTTTGTTTTAAAATCAATGGAGACAGCTTGATATTTGGCATCGCAGAGATGTGGAGGAGAAAGCAAGGCTTAAGCCCCAGTCTGCCTAAACCCCAGTTTGTAATCCCAGTCTTGTTTAAATCCCAGTCTGTTGGGATTTAAAGCGTTTTGGCAGTAGTTTTCCCAGCTTGCTTTGTAGGTGGCTGGATTTTGCACAGCTTGCAGTGGTTGTGGAGGGAAGTGACAATCAACAAGCTGTGTGATTCCTTGAGGTACTCAGTGCCTGGGACCTGATCTGTGCCATCAAAACCCTTCACTCAGGGGAGGAGGGTAAGAATACCCTCATATAGGTGTATATGCATGCTAATGACCTTATATATATATATATAAGGTCATCAACAGGCCAAGCTGACAGCTCCTTACTTCCACTGCAACAAGTTACTCACCAAAATAGACTCATGCAGGCCTACAGATCATTTTCATTAGTGGTGATTCACATCAAGAGTTGCCCAATCAGGCCTGCTGGTGCAAGGTGTTCCTTTCCACAGCACCATTTATCTAAAGATCTCGGAATCCTTTATGTACATTCAACTTGAATCCATGTTTTACCTCCAGTGGAGTAGGTAAGGAGGGCTGCTTCCATTCTGCAAAAGAGGCAAATGGAGGCACAGAGCAAGAGAGTGACTTGCCCAAGACTGTGCAGTTTGGTTGCAAAGTTATAGGGAGTATTCTTGTGCCCTGAGCAGAAATCTGTCTATAACTGTAAATTCAGGTCTGATGTGAATCAGAACTTCCTGTAGTGTTAGGGAACATTCAGATTTGTCACCCCAGAATGGCTCTCACCTTCAGGGATTGGAGGAGGATGGTTGGTTTGGCTTTAGGGATGCTATCAACTAGTTGGATGTGGAGTTAAGAGTCAGTGAAGAGCTTTGCTTCTGATCTATTCATCCTCATCTGCCTGTATGGTCAGTGGAGACAGCAGAGGATGAAAGTGGGGTTCATCTATCTGGTTAGTAGGTAACCCTCAGTTGCCTACTGAAGGATGAGATGAATTGTGACTTGAACTCCACTGTCTGTTGCCTGTAAGGGTAGAATAGGTAATTATCTCAAGTGAACCCAGTGTTCAGAGAGAAACAGACTTGCAGGAACAGGGGTAGGTGTCATCGTTTGCTTGGAGTTTAATCTCTTGTGGCAATCAGATGACTTCAATGGGGAGTGTTAAAATAGCTCCTAAAAAACCAGCCATCCATGAAAACATGGCCTTCCTTTCCCTATACTAGAGATATGCACATCAAGATTCCCACCCTGAGGAAACCTATGAAGTTTAGGAGAAGGAACAGATCCAGAGAGGGGAATTGATTTGCTTGTTGTCGTTAGGACAGAGTCAGGAAAGGTATTCCTGTCTCCCTACTCTCTCCAGTGCTCCCATTACCACACTGCCACTGAACTGGCCTTCATCCCCCTCTGCTTCCTCCCTTGCCAGGCTCCCCTTCTCTGCGGGCGTACCCTCTCATCTCCGTCATCACCCGGCAGCCCTCCGTGGTCCCTCACCTCGTCCCTGCTGCCACCAGCTCCCGCGTGCTGCCAGCCCAGACCCCGGCAGGCACTGCCAGCTCCGAGGCACCAGCCAGCGAGACCCATGGCAGCAGCGAGTCGGAGGCAGAGCAGCCCACACCTCGGCTGAAGAAGCCACGCCGGAGCAGGACCATCTTCACCGAGCTCCAGCTGATGGGCTTGGAGAAGAAGTTCCAGAAGCAGAAGTATCTTTCTACCCCTGACAGGTAGGTCAGACTCTTCCACTAGGAGAAGGAATGAGCTAAAGGGCTGCTTTGGACCTGCTCAGCTCATCCCATACTGACTGTAGTGTTCTGCCTCCTGGTTCCACAAAGATGCCTCTGCCATTGGCCAGTGGGTAGATGACCGGATTCAATTCCAGGGCTTAACTTTTCCTGGGATAGATAACTTTTCCACAGATAGATTAGCTCAATGGAAAGACCACATGGTGATATATGTGCTTGCTAGCAGGCAAGCAGGCTCAGAAACAGGCGAAGTACTGAACAGAAGGATCTTCGTCTTTCCCATTCTTGCTGCTCATGACAAAGAGGTGAAGCTTGTCTACCACACTTGGGTAGCAATTCAGTGAGAAGGTGATGGCTTTTCCAGCAGCTTGGAAAACACATCCAAGGTTGCAGGGGTTTGAAAGCTGCCTTGCCCTTGTGAAGGCAAATAACTTGCCTTTTTGAAGGCAAAGGGAAGTTCTTGAGGACTACTTGGTACCACGTGGAGAAACCAAGCTAAGGAGAGGCTTTAGCTTTTTAAAAAGGCTTTGGATCCTATTCTGCAAGTTGAAATGGTGAGAGAAAGACCTGTCTGATTCCTATGAGGTCTGTAAACCTAGAGAGGGTTTGGAAGGTACACCAGGCCTTGAACTCCACAGATGGCAGGGCCCCAGTATCTAGACTGAAGATGACATTCTGTGCTCATTCTGCCTGGCCAGGCCGTATCACACAGTGTCAGAGCTCCTAATGCTCCTGTGCCGGCTCTTCACAGCTTCACATAACCAGATGGATGACACTGTTGATGAAGCACTCGAGGCTGTTAATTATTATTATCATATGACTGTTCCTTGGCTTTGGACATGTTTGAGGCTGATGAGCAATTCCTGTCCGTGTACCATTTCCCCTCTGTTTGTTTCCTCGGGTTTCTAGGCAATGCTGGTTACCCTAATGTGTGTGGCAAGAGCTGGTAACAGGTCACCAAGTATGATCAGACATGTGCACTGAGGCAAGAAGAGTTAGTCAAGCAGGGCTTCTCTCTGTCAACTCACGGCTGGAAACGTGATGGCAAAGCAATGGGTTGTGATTCAGGTACAAGTTTGGAGGTGTTTGTGGATAGGAGGGTAGGTCTATTACCCTAAGAGCCCACCTGAAACTGAAGTTTCATTATGAAAAACTTGGCCTTGACATTTTGTTTTACCCTATCCAAAGGCTGGGAATGACTTGCCAGGAAGCTCATGCAGTCCAGACCACATTGGAACGTGGCTCTGGGTTGGAGCTGTCCCACCTGAAGGCTTTGCGTGACTCTATGGGGCCTTTAACCCAGCGTGGTTGAGGATTTCCAGCTCCATCCATTGTGCAACTCCATGGCAAAGCTGCCAGATGCATGGAGCTATCACCTGTGGGGAAGGATAAAGAGTTACTTTGAGCTGAATTTGCTTCGTATCCTGGGTTTTAATATAGAAATAGTGAATGGTCTCAGAGGAACTTGCATAGGTTGGAGATTTGTGGAGGATGAATCAGGATTATGGGCTGTCTGCCACATATAGCCTTAAGCTAAGCACGCAAATAATTCATTTATAAGCCTGAATTGCCTATAATAGCAGAATGCAGAAGGAATTAATAGATTTAGATGTACTACTACTCCGTGAGAAATGAGAAAGTATTAATACCCCCATTATGTGGGTAGTGAAGAAGAAATAGGATGCAAAGAGCAGACTGATGCTGGGTGTCTTGGTTCTTAGGTGCTTGCTTCAGACACCATAGACCTGTTTATCAGGGATGTGGTGTACCAGCAGCTGTCCCAGAGCATCTGAGCTCTTCTTGTCCTCTGTCAACTCATTTCAGTGTCTCTTTTGTCTCCAAGGTTGGACTTAGCCCAGTCGCTGGGGCTGACACAGCTGCAGGTGAAGACGTGGTACCAGAACCGGAGGATGAAGTGGAAGAAAATGGTAAGTGGTTCATTCCATCATCCTTTAGAACAGATCTGGAAGCTGAGCACGGTGTCAGTGACCTGTGTCTGTTGAGATCCAGCTTTGGTTTATTCTTGATCACTTTTCTTAGAGACCCTCTTTGTTCTTCAGATATTCATCCTGCAGCCTAGTGGGCTAGAGGGGCCCTTAGGCAGTAGGAAGGATACAAAGCAAAGAGATGAAAGAAATGAAGACAGAACAGAGGGAAGAACCAAAATATCTCCCTCTGCACTTTTAGCATTCCTGGGATCTTAATGCTTGTGGGGTAGGTTATGTGCATAGGCAAAAAAGATTGTGCTGTTCCATGGAAACCAGTGCAGTTTTGAGAGCTAATACCATTAGTTCCTGCTTTTCATATCTTCATGTCTTTCACTTCTTCACAGCTTCATGGCCCTTTTCCAGTTAAAATGCTTTTAGAAAGGACAAGTGTCCAATAAATCCTGGTGGAAACCATGATGCTGTGACATTCTCAAGTGGAGATGTTTATGTATTCTGATCTGGCAGAGGAGGTGCAGTTCTAGACCGTATCTCTGAATGTGTGTGACAGCTGCAGAAGTTACTGCCACTTAAATCCGGGATTAGCTTGGATACAGATCTTTGGAAGTGTCTTATTGCTGCAGTGATGGTGTGAAGGGAGAGGGAATTAAACATAGGATCAGACCTGGCTTGCTGACTCCCACCTCTTGCTCAGATGAGAGGGGTCTCATTCCAAGACTTGGGCTTGGAATAAAGCAAACACTCAGGAAAGGAGCTAAATCTTCTGTCTGCAGTGATGAGGACTGCATGCCTGGGTTGCTCTTGGGCTTCCTGTAGGAACTGGCTTAAAGACCTCCAGAGTTCTGGGTGTCCTTGCTGATAACGTTTGCATTTCATTCTATTTCCATGAGAAAATGGGTGAACTCACTCCATGAATGCAGGCTGAAACGGTGACCATGGACTCACTTTTGAGGTCAAAGCCGAGTTTCATCCTTCCCTGAAGGATGTCTCACAGCAGCAGAGTTCGCATTGATCCTGATGGTTCATCTCATTGCTCCAGGTGCTGAAGGGTGGACAGGAAGCTCCAACAAAGCCCAAAGGCCGTCCAAAGAAAAACTCCATTCCCACCTCGGAAGAGATAGAAGCAGAAGAGAAAATGAACAGTCAGGCTCAGAGTCAGGAGCTGGAGGGATCTCAAGCCCCAGAGGAGCCTAAACTGACAGAGGAGAAGCCAGAAGTCTCTTTGGAGACAGAGGAGTCTCCAGAACATACACCAGAGCCCTCCTCAGAGGAGACTACACCATCGAGTTAAAAGGGGAAGAAAGGAGGGAAAAAGAAAAGCAAAAAGAAATATTAAAGAGAAAAACCAAAACCAAATATATATATATGTATATATATATTTAAATATGTATGTAATTGTGTGTGTGTACATATATATATAAATATATATATATATATGTAGACCTTGTGTATAAGTCTAAAGATTGGTCACTTTGTGCCTTTGGGAATCAGCCATCATGGGCCATGGTGGGAGAAAGACCGTGCTGGGACTGTGTTGGAGGGGTCGGTGTGATAGCTTAACTTTACCCTTGCCTTTTAAAGTAGTGCAAATGGACAGAGCGCTTGGTCTGGTCTCAGATCAGGGACAGTGAAGAAATGGGGAGCTCTGATAGCTCCATTTCCTTGTGTAACAGCACTTATTTGTGTTTGGGATGGGCCCTACTCCAAACCATTTCAGGAAGGAGCTCGATCCCATCGCTTTGCTTTGGCCCAGTGTAAAGATCAAAGCTTCTGAAGCGAGATCCACACCGGGTTCAGCATCCAGGTTTCATCTCTCGTGGTCGGTTGGGTGCCGTGTCTGTGGATTTGCAGTGATCCAGGATAAAACTTGGAATGAGAGGATGGGTTTGGATTTGAGTCTGCTCCAAAAGCTTTGGGATGCTTGGAGCTGGGATTGTTGCTTCGGGCCCACTTCTAATTCTTGTCAGGTTTTTTTCTAAAGAACACTTAAATGTTTCCAGGGCTTTGGGAGAAGGATGGATTGAAGAAGTTGCTGCAGAAAGTTCACATTTGTCTAAGATGTGTGCCAAGAATAGACGTGCATCGTGTTTCATAAAGTCTTGTTAAGGGTGCATTTTGCCCAAAGGCTGCAAGAGATGTATTCAGATAACCTTTATTTTTTAATTAAAAATGAAATATCTAAATAAACCAGTTGTTGTTGTTTCTCTTTCAGTGCTAGACAGAGACTTTTTGTGGGCTAGGCTTGCCTGTTCTAACAAACCCTGGAGAAAATGGGAGTCATCAGACTTTCCGTAACACTCCTGTGTAGCAAGCACTGGGTAGACTTCCTTGTAGCACCTTGCTGAGGTAGGTGAGGGGTGTTGGTAATGCCACCTTGTCACTGGGTGCAGATGAACGTGTCAGAATGAGAGTGTTCTGGCTGTGGACACCCCATTTGTGGGTCTTGGTGCCCCTGTGAAGATGATTTGATATCCCTTTTTTGGGGTAGTGGTAGCAGTTCACACACATAGATCTCAAGTGACTTATCCAAAGAGTGGGGAGAAGGGATTTCTTCTCATCCCACAACCCCCCTGCACCCTCCAGTTTCTTGCTCAATGGGGTTTGGAAGACTTTAATTCCACCTCTGGATTAGCTCTGCTGTGGCACGTGCATCTGCATCAGGTAACACTGACATGGCAACACTCCAGCTGACTTCAGCAGAGCCAGGGTGGGACGTTGCTCCACTCGCTGTGTATTTCATGCATAGTAATCAGCTTTGAAGAGGCATCTACAGATTTAAGTGCAATCCACAGGTTTACACCTAAACCTAAAACAAATGCACCAGAGTTGGGCAATGCTCGTTTGGAAGAGCCTTGGGAAATCCCAGGCGTTCGATGCTATTTAGCTGCTTTTTACTGGCATAGAAGGATGGAAGCGGGATAGGTTTCCCTCTTGCCTGCTGTGTTGAAGATGCAGGCTGTGAGCTATGAAATCTTTCCTCTGCCATCAAAATACTTCCAAATTTGTCTTTGAACCCGGCAGGATTTGGTGATAGGCACAGGGAGAGGCAAGGGTGGTTTATGTGGGGTTCCCATACAGGATGTTGTTGCACATTCCTTTATCTGTGGCAGTCTTTTCTCATTGTCTTGTCTTTCTTTTCCTTTCCAGAACTGTGCTTTAGTTCCACCGTATCTATTGGACTTGAAATGGCATTGAATTGAGACAAGGCCTAAGGCCTGTTCGTACAGGAATTAGATGAGGTGGTCTATGAAAGCCACAGTTGTCCTCTGTTATTCTTGGATAGCAGCATCAGCACTGTTATCTCAAAGTAGAGATAAGAGTTTCCACAGGTCTTAAGTGCTGTAGTAGTCAGTGAGGGTGAAGAGAGCAATTCCAATTCTGGTGAACTAACAAACCAAATACATCCAGAGGTGTATTTGAAACATGGGAGATGTCAGCATACAGCCGTTCTATCAGCCAAAGGCTGCTCCATACAATGGGTGATGCATGTGGGGCTTGCGTTTCCTTTTCTGCAGTGGGTTTGTCTGGTTTCAGGTGGTTTGATCGATTTACAGAGCAGCAAGAAAAGGAGAAACAGGAGCAAAGGAGTTATCTTCTTACTCTGCGATGGGCAGTGCTGTCCACTGAAATGGGTAGATAAGAAAATAGAAAATGTGAAATCCTTTTCAAGCTGCACGTTTAAGGCACCAGCAAAGGCGAAGTTGGTGAGCTTCCAGCAAAGAGTAAAGCAAGTGTTACAAAACGACATTTCCCACTTCCCAGAGGAAAATAATTGTTCCTGACTCAGCCCCATTTTATGGTGGGAACAGTTCCAGGGATTTGACTTTATGTTTTCTTTCCTTAATCCCATTCTAATCACTTATGAGTCAATCTGGGTACAAATGCAATACTCAAGCTGTCTGGGCTAGTTTTGAATGAGCCCATAAGACACTGGGGATGATTTTGTTCCTCTTCTGGCTGAGTAGCAATCTTAGCATCTTCTTTTTCAATGCAGTACTTTGGGTGCAAAATTAGCTCTTGAAATGCTGATACTTGCTTCCACTGAGCTCCTTTTGCTGACTTGCCTGATCATCTCTTGAGTGTTCATGGAAAGCACATGCAGAATGTGTCTGTTTGGATGGAAACCCATTGAATTATTTCTTGGCTAAATCTTTTCATACTTTTTGTTTGTCCTGGGTTAGATCTGCAGCTGGAGAAAAACCATCTACAGATTCTGGTGGAATTGAACATAGCGATCCCAGCCATTGTTGGTAGGCAAATACTTCTTTTCATGGAATCACTGGTTTGAGCTGTATGGGACCGTAAAGCTCATCCAGTTCCAACCCCTGCCATGGGCAGGGACCCCATCCTCTAGAGCAGCTTGCTCCAAGCCCCTGTGTCCCACCTGGCCTTGAGCACTGCCAGGGATGGGGCAGCCACAGCTTCTCTGGGTGAGTTTTCTCTTGTTCCAAGATTTTCCTCCACTGGAATTCAAAGGATTGAGGAGTTATTCCCCTTTGCTTTGGGCTGAGCTGAGCTGGAGAAAGCCTGGCTGGTTGAGTTTAGCTTTTAAAGGGGATTGTGGTGATGCCCGGCTCTCATGGCTGTGGGTTGCGTTTGCTTCATTCTTCTGAGACCCAGAAAGAACATTGCAAGGCTCATCCCTGTCTTTACTGAGAGAATGACAGCGAAGGGCTTTCCAAGTGCCTGGTCCTGCAGGTAGTTCTACTTCTTTAAAAGGCTGTTGAGTGCTCTGTCTCCCAGGCATCTCCTGTCCTAGGACTGTTTGTCACTTATCCGAGGAGCCTCATCGTGTGCCCTTGGGGTTGAACCTTGCTGATGTTCAGGGGTGTTTGGCTTCCAGTTCTGACAGCGAGGAACAAGCCCCGATGTCGAAATCCCAACTTCCCTACAGGGATTGAAAGTGCTCATATCCGGAGTTCTGGCTGGGACCCACCTTTTATTGTACCCACTGTTTAGGTAATCTCGCAAAGCACTGAGCTCATCCTGCAGGATGGTTAAGTTCCCCCAGGTCCCAGCAGGGATGAATGGGCTTTGGTCTTGTTTTGCAAGAGAAAAAGGATGTGTTCATTTAACTTCAGACCAGTACAAAGGAATTTGGTGCTTGGGTGAGTTTTCAGTTCCATCACCTCCCTTCAGGAGCAAAATGGAAAAGGACAGTGGGAAGAGTATGAGTGAAACAAAGAGGAAGAGGAGGTGAGAGGAAAAGCAAAGGTGAAAAGCTTACCTGGGTCAAGCTATGTGAAAATGAAAACTAGGGAGAAAAATAATGTTGTAAAATCAACTTTTGGTATATTTTGATAGGTAAAGCTCTGGTTTTGTAAAGAGAGCTGTATCTGGGGCTTAGCTATACATGCAGGATGGTGAATGGCAGCTTTTTCTGTTTCCTTTTAGCCGATGTAAGTTAAAAGCTGAGTAAAGAGCAGTTGAGTTAGACTTGAGCTACAATACAGGATTTGGACCTAAATCTGTGTCTTGACAAAGGCAGAAGTTTGGTGAAGCCTAGATCCTGTGGAATCTCAGATGCTGGGCATGAGCTTCCTGCAAGGATGCTCCTCTTTCTTCCCTAGGTTTTGCTGTAAAATGAAGATGAGGGGTTTTAGGGGCTTAAATCTTCGCAGCACAGTAGTTTTCCTGTTTTAAAGAGAGTGGCACATTGCAAGCATAAGAGTTGTAATTCAAACCTCTGAGCTTTCAGACTCTACAGTCCTGGAGTTGAAGTTCATGAGGGAGCATAGGGATTTGAGCCCTAAAATCTATATCCCTGTCAGAAACAGATCTGTTTTTTCCCCTCATAGCAGGTAAGCTGTGATTTCTAGGCTTTCTCCTCAATTCTAGTCCCTTCTCATACTGTTAATCTCCCCAAACCTACTGTCTCAGCGCAATGGTATCATTCCACCTTAGCACAGCAGTTACTGCTAGGAAGGAAGCTGCTTATCGCTCCCGGGACCCATAGGTGCCAAAAGGGAGAGATGTAGTGCTAGGAGGTTGCCAACGGAGAGTGTTAACCCCTCCAGGCTGTTCCGACATGTCAGCCAAGGGCTGGAAACACCAAAGCTCTTGTTCTGTCAGACAATTGAGAGTAATAGGTTCCTGAAATCATCCTGGTCCTAGACCTTCCTGCAGGCAGCTGGGAGGAAGGCTCCTTCCCCCTTCTAGAGCGTGCTAGGGCCCAGCAAAAGCAGGGGATGTGATGGGAATGCTTGGGCAAACAGTTCTAGCGTTTGCATAGAACCAAAGGAACCAAACCCTTGTAGGTAAAACCACCATTCCAGACCTTTTACGCTTCCCATACAAGGGACAGTAATGTCTTTCCCTTAGCTTAAACTTCCCCATTCTCACCACACACAAAGCCCAGCATAGAATCCCAGAGTGGTTTGAATTGGAAGGGACCTTAAAGCTCATCCAGCTCCAACCCCTGCCACGGGCATGGATGTCTTTCACTAGAGCAGCTTGCTCCAAGCACCATCCAACCTGGCCTTGAACACTGCAAGGGATGGGGCAGCCACAGCTTCTCTGGGCAGCCTGCATCTCCTCTGGGTAACCTGCAACTTCTGGGCAGCCAAGCCAAGACCTCCTCCTATGTCAAGGTGAGTCTGGAGGATGCTGGGGGTTAATTTTTCTGTCATTGGTTGTAGCAGCATCATACCATTAATTCCTGTGTAGATGCTCAGAAACAATGGGCTCCAAACTTGCCTTACCTCAGTTCGAAGTAGGGACCACAGGCTCTTTTCTTCCAAGGAGCAGACTTACACAAATAAGGCTTCTAAAGCCATCTCTTGAGCAGCAGGACACTGAACTACATGGCTGAGAAAGGGTTTCCAGATTGCAGCAGGGAAAGGGTAGCAAGCACTTCGGTGCTAAAGCAAAACCTTTCTTACTTATACCAGAGCTATGGTACCCCACTCTGATGCTGTGCCTCTAGTTGAGGTAGGGTGGGGTTGACTGGTGTACATCTATGGACAAGAGATGCTGCAAGGTGCTGGAGATGCTCTTGCAGCCAGAGTATTAAAGTTAAAGCAGGTCTGAGAGCTGCTTGAAGTCAGGCAGGTTCTGGTATTGATGGAAGAAGCAAAGCGCTGGGAGAAAGATTTCAGCAGCATCCTTCTCCTATCACAGCTTGGGTGGCCGTTGCATCAGCATCAGCTCATCATTATGATGTTATAGTAGGAGTAACGGGGGAAAAG